CGCTAAAACTATGAGTGTCACTCATTTATTATTTCATACGTGAAAATCACTTAGGGTTTACGTGAAACGCACATAGAATCTGTGTATGAACAAATCACGTGAACTTCATTAAATTCGGTTTCAAATGGAATTTATCCTCGTATACAAGTGGTGTCATGTAGATTCTACTTGGGACATGTAAAATAGACGGTAAACCAAAAAGAGATTCTTTACGTGATTCTTCACTTAACTATAACGTGTCGATTATTTAGAGTGTATCATATTTTATGTCTAGGGAAGGCGCGAAATTTTCCAACCCGAAAAATTCCTAGAATGGACCGGTCATACAAACTTGACCCACCTTAATAATCACAGTATGTTTTCAGCGGCCTCTGGTGGCGGAACTAACTCTTCTTATATCTTGGTGTACCTGCGTTCTGTCCAGCGGGTGATTTCGTGGGCAATGAGTGATGTTGGTATTTCAAGATCCACATGTGAAAAGAAGATAAGAAGGTTTGTTTACAAAAAGTTTGTATGCCCTTTTCACATGTTGTTCTTGATTTGATATTCAATCATTTTCTTAGCATATCTCAGTAATCTCTGACAGACAAACACAAAACTGGTTGCTCTGTTTTAATTTCTGGTAGTAGCTTTATTTACTTCGCTTCCTCGCCAGTAACAGGGTGTTGTTAAGATTGTTTACTGTTTAGGATGCTTAATTAAATGTCCGTCCGTTCTTCTTGACGAGGCTCAGTGGTTACCGTTTCTTCTTACTGAGCATAAGGTCGGGAGTTCAAACCCATGTCCCGTCTCGTACCTTGAAATTTTTCACTATGACTTATTCTATCCCCACTAGATTTAAATAAAAACTGTCGGCTGCTTTTACTGATCGCATCACTTACCACAGTGAATGCTAATCTAAAAGTAGCCTTTCTAACTAACGCAACTATCCTTCCCGTGGCAATTGTGGAGATGCAGAGGTAAACACTAGACTGATGCAAAATTTGAAATTTTCGTTCCACAGTGCTCAAACGGTTTCAAATTAGGTCCTGAATAGCCTCCCAAAATTTGAACTAATTTGGTAAGAAACTGACTTGGCACAAACTATTCGAAGTTTATATGGAAATTACTATGGGAAAACCATACTTCTACCCATTTTTCATTTTACTTTTTCGAAAATTTAATTATTCTTACGGGAAATTTTTTTAAGCTACAACTTTGCGGAATATCGTTTTTCAGCCAAATGTCAAATTAAATTGTTATTATTTTTTAAGAGATTGATAATCTTAAGGCATGATCAAGCAGCTGTTCTGTGGGTAACACTGTATTCTGCAGTGTGACATAGTAGCCATAATATTTGTGCTCTATTCTTCGCACCATTAATAACTTTTGTTCCTTACATTTGATTGAAAAGTGGTTTTCAACAAAGTTTTAGCTGAGAAAATTGTTTACAATTACTGTTATCATTTTAAAAAGCATAGTGATGTGGTGAATTGTTAGATAAATATGAACAAAAACATAAGCTTTTACATAGTAATTCCCATATAAACTTGAAATGGTTTGTGCGAAGTCAGTTTCTTACTAAAGTAGTTCAAATTTTGGGAGGCTAAGCAGGATCCAATTTGGAACCGTTTAAGCACTGTGGAACGAAAATTTCAAATTTTGCATTAGTCTAGTAAACACGGTCTAAAGTAACAACGATTGTTAAACTAATCATCCTTCCCCTCCCTCCCAAAGACCGCGAGGACGTGGCCGGCAAACCATGCATTATCTCTCCTTATTAACAATTATTTTAATACAATAAAAAAATACATTTCTATACTTCGGATGACTTTTACCGTGCTTATTTAATAAATAAACATCGAATTGGTTTTAGTTATTAAAAAAATATTCGAATAATGTCTAGAACAAGCCATCAAATAATCATCTTTGTTTTGATAGAGGTAGGAAAAATCAATTCGCCTAGAGTACCTACTAAAGACCGTTTGAAAAATTCACTATGATATATAATCTCGAATATCGTTAACGCTAGGTATTAAGTAAATTTACACGATAATTTATTTAAATTTAATTGTGTTATCATATCAATCAACAGTGTTGAATACAAGCATGTAAACAATTTCAGCGTTTATGCCAAGTATGAAACTAAATGCCAAGCTGAACATTAACAAAGGGGCGCGATGATTAAAGCAGATGATTCTGTGTATTATTTTTATAAAATTGATGCTCGATCTCGCATCCCATAGTAACTGTCACTTTTCTCATAGTAACACTTTTCCCATAGTAACTGTCATATAAACTTCGTAGGGCCAGCGCAGTATGAGATCGCAACCAAATGAGCTCAAATTTTGCGAGAATGATCAGAACCCTATTTTACAATCGATTGAGTGGAGTGGAGCAAAATCGATATTTTGAACCACCCTAATAGATAATTATAATCTATCGTTTATTGTAGTATTCAAAAAAAAATATTGGCCTACAGCATGCTCCTCCCATTACAGAAATCTGCATACGGCTTCATCAAACTCAGCATTCCTCCAGGGTTTATTTCCGTGTGCACAGACAGAGTGGCAACGTTGCCATAAGACACAATAAAAAAGACGTACCAATTTTTCTCACCTCAATAATGCTTGAAAAAAAAAACAATTCAATAGCGACGGTTGCTCAAAATTTTCCTATTAGGCATGTTTTCATTCTCACTCAAATTCGAAGATACCAAAATCTGGCATCCTTCCAAGGACCGCCTGTAAAATAGCTGATGACTTCACCGGAAGGAACCCAGGGGCACCGAACGTCTGATACCGAGCTCTGTACGTGCAACATACCCGTCTACTGTGAACCCATGACTGGCTATGACTCTTGCTACCGACATGGGAACAATAAAAAAGAAATTTGTTCATGAATAATTCCCGAACACAAACGATGTGCGAAAGAATGCAACGATAACAACGGAAGGGAGCACGAAAAGCTGTAGGATGGGGAAAATCTCTTACATTAAAAGCAATATGTAACGATGAGTTCGGGGTTCAAGTGGGTTTGAAAAAAAAATGATGAAGAAGCAGACTATAACCTCAGTTGTAGCAAACATTGCTTATCTTGTTTGCCTCTTTATTCGTGAGCAATCCTGAAAAAAATATACAAACGGTTTGACATGGATGGAGATTCAGTGATAGGGAAGTAGTTTATAAAACGCCCCACCGGGGCAAAGGACCCCCTTTTCATTTCTACGAATCCAGGCTCAATATAAATGTAAAACTCATGGACAATTCAAGTATTTAATAGGAACACTTCAGTATGAACGTTTGACATTTGGCAAGTGCCGCAAATCAATGAAAAACCCATAATCCTGAAAAGCATCCTCCAAAGTCATTCTTTTTTTGCGCAGTATGTAACATTTAATATTGATGCTCTGCAAGCGCACATTTTTGCTGTTGGACATACTAGCATTTTAGTATAGATAATACTGTCCCTTTGTTGTGGGGGTATAGGATTGAAACGTTGTCGAATAATGTTTCATAGCTTTTCATTTCAACTGCCACTGCAGAAAAAATGCTTACAACTTATGTCTAACTCCTAAGGTAACGGATGTACGAGATCGTTCCATTAATTATAGAGAAAACGGTAAAAAATATAGCCGTTTTTCTTTAAGGGGGGCGTATTATACCCGTTTCTGTTCTAACTCCCGCGCTAACACCATAGATATATTTTATTGATAATTATATTACACGAATAAGAAGAATCCAAACCAGCCATACTTTTTTGTTTTACTGCATTTAAATTAAAGAAGAAGAGTTCCGAATCCGATAAAAATTTTGCCTCGAACGTGTTCGCTTCTAAAAATGTAATCGACTGTATTTAAAACATCAAGCTATTTTGTGGTTTATTGACCGAAAAACGGGGTCAATTTGATCACCTGAGGTTTCTCATTGATTTTTTTTCTAATATAATCCTTTTTATGTCGAATAATGCTGAAATGGGATTTATTTGTTTGTCTTTATAATATATTATAATATAATATATTATATTATAATATATTATTATATTCAACCGTAGGCTGGTTTGTAGTGTATATAATGCATTCTAACACCCCATTTTACAGTACAGTATTCATGCATATGAAAATGAAAGAAACCTTGATTGGATATATTTTTTTGTGATATATCTAACGCTACGGTGATTAAGGCAAATTTATATACCTCTTTTTTATAAAACGGTGATAAACTGATGAATTCTGTTTTGACTACCCTATTGTTCAATCAGGATGCTGTAAAACAACTGCACCACATCATACTTAAAAAAAACATGAAGCTCTGAACTCCGATGATACTAGTTGATTGCAACCGCAATGTTCTGGGAATAAGTTGTTGCTCCCATAACAAGAGACGACACCCTTTCAGCACGTATTCCAGTACCCATACGACACTCCCAACCCCAGTATAAAAGCACATAAAAATATTAAAAATCATCGTGCACATATTTTTTGCAGTATTATGATTTTCCCATTGTGTGTACAACATGGCAACCGTGACTAGGATAACGCACACTTCTGGAAACACATGTGGTATGTGGTTCACTTTCAATGCATTCTCTAACTTTTTGTGTGTGAATTTTTTGCTGTCGTCCTCACACCGATTCTTGTCACGACGATAGAGGTAACAGTTATGCTTCCATTGTGCTCATACAAGACACAAAAACAAACAATCCAGGATGCTGAATGCACAGCATTAACATTCCAGAAATTAATTCTACTATCCCATTCACAATAACTGGGATAATGGATTCCGTTCTCAGTGCCAGATTGCGCTGCCAACCAACGTAGTCTCGGTGCGGTACGGTGAGTGCATTTTCCATTGTTTTCTATACCGTTTACGATTCCACAGATCACAATCGACGTGTAGAGATTATGAAACTTGGGTAGTTCATATAAAGCTGTAGAGAGCTATTAAGGTTAATTTCTTCCTCTAATAAAAGGATATTTTTTTTCTTTCCGCTCTTTTCATGTATTTACCCCTCTACCGTAGAAATGGAACTGCAGAAAAAGACTAAATCAGCACATAGACTGAACAGTGTCGAAGATACCTCTGTCAATGATGTAAGTACAACCGTAGTGCATGCACAATGAATATTTCAGATTATTCCATATAAACCCGTTAAGCCCTTTATATAAATATCAAGCTTAGCAAAACACAAGGCAATCATCCGATAAAAAGCGCACAATTTCGATAGAGTTCTTTGAAAACAAATACCCCCCAACTGTGCAATAGCACCGCGTTTCTTCGCAAAACCTCTCTCAGTGTGCAATCTTCATTCAAGCCACAACCGATTGGCCTAGCTTAATTAGCTAACAGTTCGATACCTCGCCAAACCAGATAATTCTATCCGAGACCTGCTCGCAATAATAATGAATCTCTTCCATTTGTTCTAATTTATCCCACATGAATAAAAACAACCAGGAAATCAACTCCACGCCCAACATTGACCAACCCGAGGAGAATAATAAAATCCACAAAAACGGCCGACTCTACAAGGGTCTGCAAAGTAGTGAGCACAACGTGATGAGCTCAGGATCAGCAGGCACCATCGTCGGCACCAGTAGCCATCAACTCTTCCATCCGTTCCATCTGCACCATCGGCCCCATCAATCATCCGGTGGATGGTCCGGCGGGGTAAAGCTGTTAATTGTCCTACTGGTGCACCTACGCCAAATGCTGATCCGGCTAGTGGAACTGATATTCCGTACAGTGCGGCACCGCTCATGCCATAGGACTATCATCCGATGGACGTACGAATCGTTCTCGGTTCTGTTATACTCGTCGTTGTGATTTTTGCTGTTATTTCTGCTGATAGGTGTGCGTTTGGGCGTTGTATAAGGCTGCTAGTTATTTGGACAATGTGGATAATGTAAGCAAGTTGTAAGTATTGCCTTTAATATTAACATCTTCATTTGTACCCGCACACGAACAATATTGACAAATTGGAATTTGAAAATGACAAAAAAAATGTTTTTTCAATATGAAATTACTGAAATTTATTTATCATTATTGAACAGCATATTTGACATTTTGTGGAAAGGGCAGTTTGCAGTCATTGTTGTGGTGATTCATTTTCATTTGAATTTGTATCTAAAAATTTTATAATTCAAGATGCTGTTATTTGAAAAAATGCACCTTCGTTTCCGATGGCTGAATACTCGTTTTACCATGTGTCGATTAACTATCGTACAAAAGCGACAATTAGGCAGGATAAAAATAGTTACACTATTATTTATTAATTTATTAGCGGTTGGTGCCTTCTTATATATCTTCGAGCTATTAGTATATTGCTTGGATTAATCAATTCAATGGCAATTGATCTGATAGCAGAATAAGCTATTAATCTTATACTGCTATCAGATCAAAATAAGCTGCTGATTTCATGATAACAAAATATCATAAAAAAAATAAAATTATGCTTTGATAGCAAAATAAGATATTAACATTTTATAGCGCACAACACACCAATAACATAATAAGATATTGATAATAAAATTTTATATTATTTGGCTCTGATTTTGCTATTACCCAATAGCCTCAATTGCGCTATTGAACCAATTAATTGTCAAGTTAAATTTAATTCGTGCTTAAAAGTCACAGATGGAAATTTGTCGAGTAACCCCGCTATCCAAGTGTGGTTATTTATGACAACCAAGAAGTTATATTTAAACAACCGCGGCTGAGTTCTGCTCGAAAACCAGTCGATAGATAGCACATGGATTTTCAAACAAGGAAAATAACTGTCAAAATGCCACTTTTAATCACAAGTTAAATTTAACTCGGCAATTGATTCAGAGTAGCGGCGCCGGTGGTGTAGTGGTAAACGTGATTGCCTCTCACCCCAGCAGGTCTAGGTTCAATCCCAGTCGGCGCCGCCGGGATGTTTTGAGGCATAACATCTCTGATCACGCCTTCCTTCGGAAGGGAAGTAAAGCCGTTGGTACCCGGTTTATGAGCTGATGGGTCGATAAGTAGGGACCAGGTGTGGGAGCTGCCTCCCTGGCGTCGGTAGCATTGGGAAAAAATTGATTCAGAGCCTAAATAATTAATAACTATTTCACCAGTGTGTTGAAGAGTTACTTGGCTGATTTTGTTCCACTGCGCAGGCCATCTTCGAAACCACCTTGGGGAAATATACATTTACGACGACTCAAACGTCTAAGATCCAAAGCACTCCGAACCTACTGCCAGTCTCGTTGTCCTATTTCCAAGCAACATTTCGCACGTGCTAGTAACAACTATCGCACTTATAACCGTTATCTGTACAAACGCTACTGCAAACGAACTCAGGAAAATCTACGCAGACATCCACGACATTTTTGGAAATTTGTCGACTCTAAACGGAAGGAGAATGGATTACCCGTTGAGATGTTTCTGGGCGATGAAGTCGCCACCTCCGCTTTGGAAAAGCGCAATTTGGTTGCCACTCACTTTAGAAGGGCATTTAATGATTCTACGTCGTCTGCACGTCAAATCACAAAAGCTTGTAGAGATACACCTAGTGGGGTCTGTTCTCTGAGAAGCTTTGCGATCACGTCGAATCAGGTGGACTCCGCAATAAACAAATTGAAATACTCTGTGTCCAGTCCAGATGGCATACCGTCATGCATCCTGAAAAAATGCGGCGAATTCACCACTGCCGACGAGGATGATGGATGTCCAATGGACGTGATAGAATTAAATTTTTTTATGTTTTTGACTACAGTTGATATTTGAAGCCATGTTCACTTTATGTTATGTTCACGGATGTACTTGTTTTGTAATGTTTGTACTGTATTGTGAAAAGATATGGGGTTTTTACGCCATTAAAATTGGCTTTTCCCCATCACATTCATTAAGACGACAAAAAGTCAGATGAATAAATAAATAAATAAATAAATAAATTTGTCGTTTGACTAAAAACCGATCCCCAGCATAGATGTAACTGAGAAAAATTCCTACTAGCTATCGAACTTTATCTCAGAGCCCTATAAAAAAGGGTACAAGGTAATGAACTAAAATTTTGAATTTCCCAAAGTAAATATTTCCGATAAAAACTTCAAATGGTTTGTGCACTGCACAGTCAGTTTCTAGCCAAACATGTTCAAATTTTAGGAGGCTTACCCGATTAGGAACCATTTAAGCACTGTGAAGCAAATGTTTCAAATTTTGCATCAGTCTATTCTTGACTATGAAAAATTATGGGAACACTCTTCAAGAGCACGCAACTTCACCTGCTTCCTGGAATTCATCACAAACCCCCTCTACAGGGAAAATACAAGCACTGAATAAATTTCTTTAAATTGAGCATGACTGACCGCCCGTGGATGCTACTCCGTTATTGACAGATCAGCTGTATTTACACAGAGAACCAACGTTAAGGTCGACTTTAGGAACATCCACCCTTTTACTGACATTTTAAGAGTTACCGTAAAACGGAAGCACGTTGATCACTTCTTACCGATAAACCTGAATAGTTTTCCAACTATAGGGATTCGATCTAATGTTGGGCTTACAGAGCACAACCAGCCCTTTGAATCTGATCAAAAGTAATAAATTGTTGAGATATTAGTGAAAATCTAACACTGATTCTTGACCCTAAACAATCGGCCTAACGCATTGAAAAGCCCATTGCATTCACTTTGGCCTATCAGATGAAGATAAAAATTGATTCAATCGAAGTGCTTCTTTTGTTTTTGAGAACAATGGGTGCAAACATTCAAACATGCGTTCATATTGACTTCATTCGGTAGATTTTTAGCTAAAGTATCGTATCAAATGCATAATTGACTTGTTAACACCGAAATCATGGTTTCTGATATGATGTTTTCTGGTCGATAGATCCAGAATGGGCGATTAGGCCGAAGCAGTTCTCTAACCAAAGTTTGAACCACAATCAAATATCATTCAAACCTGTAGGGAACGATGGAGTAAGACGGGTGACCCCTGGGTAAGACAGTCGCCGTTTAAATTATTGAAACAATCAACTCTTCAAAAAAATTAATGATGCAGAGCTTTTTGCTATAATATAGTTGGTGTTAGTATAGTTGTTCATTCTAGCTTGTGAAACGTCAAAATAAATAGCAAAAACAAGCATTGTGTATGGCGGTGGGCCTGCATTTGTTAATTTGTGTTGCCGCCATTTATGTTTTAATAGCTTTTATATAATTTAACAAATAAAAGTAACATTACTATAAGGAATACACAAATCTGTTCAATGTCCTTTTAGAGAAAAATAGAAAGTTTTTTTTTAATTATGAAGTATTACAGAAGCTGTTACAATACATTTACTTGTATTGGGGCAAAACGGCCACCTTTTTAACCATGTAGTAAATAACAATATTTCGTTTCTATCAGCCTTTTTTCGAATATACTTGTGATCTGTCATCAGTATGAATTCGCGATATGAAGGCCCCAGGCGATCCACCGGAAAATCCGAAACATCAGTAAAACCATTCAATTAATAAACATTGGTTTTGGATTTCTAATAAGCTTCTGTTTCCGGTATTATAAGTAAGATGATCAAGGCATTCCAAATGGTGAGTGTTCATGTGAACTTACTGTATCTATAAGCTATATCTTGGAATCCTCACAATCTACGAAGCCAGGACATCTACGTGAAGTCCACACGCAGAGTAGTGTTATGTAGTGAGATAATGAAAGACCTTGCTCAGCTGAACAACTTTCCCGAAAACATACACTTTGTAAATAATAAAGATTTTAAGATATATTATCCAGGAAATTTACTTGCACATTAGTGCCGCATAGTGACAAAATTATGTACAAATGTTCTCTAACCAATCCGCCTTGACCTATTGTGAAATTTTTCCTATGGCCTATGGCCAGGATCATGTGATCCCAAAAGGTGGTCAACCTTACTCCGCTTATTTTTTTTCTTTCATAATTTAAACTTTTTTTTTTTTGATCTTGATTTGTTTTCAGCTGGGGTGAGAGGTAATCACGCTTACCACTACATCACCGGCGCCTTGATTCGTGATAAAACATCATTTTATGAAATGGAATTTTTTGAAAATCAATATAATTAAGGAAATTATTCTAAATATCAATGTTTACTACATTTAACGCGGGAATGTTATACAACTTTGGTTAAATTTAACTTAGAGTGGCTGTCTTAGTCTTAGCTAGGTTGCTAGCTAGCATCCTCTTGTACATAGAACAACTTGGACTTCAAGTGTCTAACACAAAGTAGACACTTAACGAGTTTCCATACTTTATTGTCGTCTTGTGAGGGGAGCGCCACAGGGTCTGTTTCATGGGATTCTTCATCGTATGGATCGTAATACGTTTCATTGTCAGTTTCTTCTGTCGATTATTACTCAGAGCATCCTAACACCAACGGTAGTATAGATTCATCGTCATCTTCATCTGTGAACGGGAAGCATTCATCATCATACCGTCCACCGATCGAGAGGATTTACATTCTCTTTTAAAGCTGTAGAACTACATTTCAGGAGATACAGTTGCAGTTAAAGCCACCTCAAATCATATTTTTTTTAAGCGTCCGAGATCAGCATTGATCTCACTTTCTATCCCAGTCAGGGTTCGGTTAACGCGCTTAGTAGAATCATTTTTTACTATGGTGAGTAGGCAACTGTTGGCGAACCTTGAATGCCTTTCTTGCTGTAGAAGTTGCGCTGTTCAATGGATAAATTTCACGGCCCTAATCAACTGTTAATTTGCAGATCTTCGCTTGCCACTGGGTTGCAGCCCTAACCTTGTAATGTTTGAAACAATGAATACTTCAGACTTACGAATACGACATAAATTGCTGATAAATGTATGCAATCGTCAATGAACGATAAGAAGAATCTTGATCCAGAATGAAGGATTAATCAACAAAATTTAAAGGTTTTAGTAACATTTCAAGTTTTATCGAGGTTTTATAGTCCAAAGTCCAAATACTGATCTACAGAAACCTCATAGAACCCAAAGTGTTACTTGGTCAGTTACTCTATCACGAATTTCATCAAACGATTCTCGACAGTCGGCACCCATCACACATGTGTTGCAAAATACAATATGTTACGTTCAAGCTTCTTCGTTAAACCCTAGGTCTGGCGAAGACACATCGTAGTCACCCCTTGGTTGCCACCCCTCGGTGTCAAGTTGGTAAACAAAACAAATCAGTGCATGAGCTGTGTATCACACTCTATAGACCTTTTTGACGTTTAATCATCTTTCTCTATCTAGCACACATGGATGAATGGACGGTTTGTTTTCCCACTAATCTGTTTCCCTCTTGCTCGTACTCGTGCGCTTTAAATGGCACAGTACACGGAACCGAAAAATTACCCAAAATTTAGTTCTTTTCACTCATCTCCCATGTTCTGTTCAATAAGCTAATTTTCAGTAAACCGCTTATAGTAGTTTGCATTTGACTACGGCAAAAATAATTACTTACTCGTGTGTATTTTCTACCTAAAATTAAGTTAAATTGACTCAAATTTGAGAATATCTCATATACTCACTAGCTTATTGAACGATAGTCATGAGAAAGTCGAATCTCTCGTCCCTTTTTTGACAACAACAAAATGTGAGAGTGGGATGCAAAACTCAAAATTACCCAAAATTAAGTAAAAAGAACTTAAATTAGGGGTAATTTTTTTTCTCTGTGTAGTGTGCGCCGATTAAACGTCAAAAAGCTCTATTAACGACAGTAGCTAGTTGTTCGTTTTTTCGTTTCTCACATACAATTGAAATGCGATGTTACGCGAAGTTTTGCAGCCACACTGTAAAGTAAAACGAAGCTTATTTTGCTTCTCGAAAGATCGCTTCCTTCCGCGCGTGGTTGACATTTTGTGAAATTGATCCAGAAACGGAAATTCCCGGTAGTTCGAGACTGTGTTGTACACATTAGAATCAGTTGATATGAAAGTGAAACATAATTTTATACACCGGAATGGCTTGATATTCAATCCTAAGCTGATGAATTGATTTAATTTCATATAATTTGAAAAACAGACAGAAGTTGATAACTAAGAAAACATCTATGATGATGTAAGGTTATTGATAATTTTGTTTGTTTTGATTTGATAGTTGATAAAAACTAAATAATAAAAAAAAAACAGACATTACGTATTTGTTTCATAATCATTAAGTTAATTCCGAGAAAAAAAACTTATGACTTTTCACTCAGATTTCAATACCCCATATCTGTTTCCCTCTTAAAAGAACAGTAAAAACTGGTTCAATTTTGTCAGTTCAAATTGGTTCGAAAATCATTACATCTTCACCAGACCTAGGTTAAACCATTAGCCATTTAAAGTTTCACAAGATTTTCTAACTCTTGCTGACTAGCATGACCAAGCCGACGATGCCTCAACTTGCTTATTTCTGCCATACTGACATCAGGTTGACCTACGGATCTAAGTTCCAATTCTTATTCATACAAGCTTCCAGTGAGACATGCTACACCAATAACTGTAATATTTTCTGGTGCCTTGGAAAGACCCTTTTCGCCGGTGCAGTTTTGAAACGCAATGTCAGATGATCGATCTGGAACCTCTTCGAATTCGATGAACCACAATAACAGGGATCTGCTCTGCTCAACCGGGTCTCTTCTATATTCGAATTTTCCTTCCATGAGAGATACTACATCGACGTATTGCTTCATTCTTCACTGGTGCTGCAAACCGTGAATGACCATGTGTATTATTCATTCGACCTTATTTTTTGAAGAGTTAAAATCCGTAAGTAAGAAATCAGGGGTCACATTAAGGAACCATTTCGAAGTGACTGTTTTTATACAAGCGTTCATACGAAAACTGCTTCGTTACGACTTCCCCAATAAGACCCCATAGCTCTTTCTTGGGGTTGGTTGGACGTAAGAAAAATATTAAGTGGTTAAATTTATGTTTTTGCATAGCGCTTTCAAAAAAGTATCTGATAAATTCGCGAACTTTCTATGAAATTCCCGCCATTATCTGTTGCACACGCTACTCGCCAACCTAAGGGGCCAGTGTGTTCCAACATCTAGCCATCTTTGTAGTAACTTGAGGTATCTTACCAGTCTTCTTCAAGTTCCGCTTAATAATTGCCAAATATTACTCGATTGACTGGAACTAGTGGCACCTCCCTGCAATGCGTTTTTCCAGCCACTATTACACTCTTACTTTTGAGTCCATCGTCTAGTTTGTGACGAAAATCTTGGTATTCCGTCCGCAGCTGTAAATCCTTTGCCAGATCATGAGATTCCGTAAATATTTATCAGCCATAATAAAATTAAACTTGCCGGGGATCATGCCGTTCCGATGACATCTTGAGGCCACATTGAGATGTTACCAAATAAATAAAGGATATTTTTGTACGGAAAAGCGCTACTAAAGTATTGTCAAAACTTATAAATTATGCTGACCGCACATCTTGTGATTCACAATGAAAAACATTTAACTCAATATGAAAAGGCTTGGATACCTAAGAAACATGTGTCGGGTTACACTGCCCGTCATCGCAAGTCGGTCCCATTTGCGTTTTTGTCAAAACTGAGTTTTTCAATGGAATTGGTAGATAATCTCTTATATTTTCATAATACTGCGAATTCAACAACTTTATTCTATTACATAAGAAGTAATGGTACGAAGCCAATTTAAAACACTTCTTTCTCGGCATAGCAAAAAAAAAACATTTGAAGGCCTGCACTGCACGCAGTTTACAGGCAAACAAGTTTTAAAAATTTTGATAAACTAAATGTAACAAAATACCCCATCACTATCAGTTTTTTGCCAACCAAGGATGTGGGCCGAAACAGTGCATGAAAGTTCAAACGCAGACCTATCTGAACTTAAACACATTACTATCACATGCTGACTATGCCACCCGGACCCAGTTCTGCATTAACCAGAACGAATGTTATTTAAATACACCTCAGTAAAACCATAACGAGCAAATGAAGTGGAAAACTTTTTAAAACCACCGCAATGCAACTGTGGAATGGGAGTGCAAATTACTGCACAACGAAGTATTTCACGCAAATTACGCTACGATGTGGGGAAATTCAACACGAACTACTGCTAGAATCCTCAGTTCCACACGTAATCTACGGAGGTTCCACTTTAAGATCATTTCGTTTGCTTTCGAACAATTCCAATACCGCAACTGTTTATGATGAAGCCGGTGAAGAAAAGAAGAACATTAATTTAAAACTACTGTTATTTGATTAGCATCAAATAATGAAAAAGGGCAGTACAGTCTATGGTTAAGCATTTCACTGACTTCTTTTGAGGAAAGCATTCATGTATTACTTGTAACCCATGAACATACCTATCTATACTTTTCAATAGCATGAATGCCGTGGCTGTCAGCCATAAAATCATCAATCATTAACGTTTGGCTTGATTTTTTTTTATCGTTGCAGCTTCCGGAAATCACTGAAAATAGCATCATTGATAAATTGCCGACCACTGTGCGATGTGGTAAAAAAATTTGTCGATATATCGGCAGTCCATAGTTTTCTCCCATCCAATGTTCGTACTGGCAAATGTTTTCCATAAACTCTTTCGCTGATTGCTTCTTCGTACTGAAACTGACACCAGGATTATTTGGAAGAAGAAGAAGAAGAAGAAGAAGAAAAAGAAGAAGAAGAAGAAGAAGAATGATAAGTAGAAGATGAGGTGCACCGTTTGTCTCAGTATATTTTAAAGAGTAAGTGCCAAAACGATACTGAATTTTGCGACAGATAAAAAAACAGTGACAAAAGGTGAGCAAATAAAAAAGCATCCATCTACAAATCAGATGACTAAATCGTAAAACCATACACACACGTTCATAAAAAAAGTTATATCCATATTCATAGCTGATGGAAAACGGAAACAATATATGAGTTATTTCGAATGCAAAAATATGAGAGTGAATGAAAAAAGGAAAGTTTTTATTATGAATAAAAATGTGGCGCTTATTGTTATGACGTGAAAAGGAAGCGATTATGAAACAGTATCTCGTCTGAAAAATAAAACTGAGACGGAAAACACACTACGCTATACACATAAAGGTAGATAAAACAATATAAATAAAAACACAAACACTCTAGCCAATTAACTTAAGGTGAATCAAAATCCTAAGGAAAGGGCCATATATTACATTAAACGAACTATGGTGAGTAATAACGGTAAATGTGGTGCATAAAATACGGAGTTACTGAAGTGAATTATTGATCGCTATAGGAAATGTAACAAAATATTGGATAATGAAATTCCCCTGGCTACTGAAAGTGTAAATATGAACAATGATATTGGTAATGGTAATAATGACAACTCATGAAATAAGACAGATAATACAAACTATGAAATAAACAATTAAAATGTTGCATTATTACTTCAACTACCGATCCGAAAAAATCCTACCTACAATCAGTTACAAAGTATACATTTTTTTGCTGCTATTTCAAGATGTCAAATGACTCTGAAGAACGTGCGCTTCATGACTTCGACGATTGATGAATGGAATCAACACCAGGTAATAAACATGTCAAAGAAAACCGGCCAATGTAGAATATATCTATATATTGTGCCTTTCTTTGTGGGTAATCCAAATGGCCGTGTTTAGTTGACCTTTCTGTGATATAAATTATTACAAAGCAGAATGTTTCAAATAAGAAAAAAAAAATACTGAATAGCAAAAGCGTATCTTTTTTTCTGATACTCGCATATATCACTCTCATTTGAAAAATCGTTATATTGGGAAAATGATGACTAAAATTTGTTGTTAGCAGCGCCGGTGGTGTAGTGGTAAGCGTGATTACCTCTCACCCCAGCAGGCCTGGGTTCAATCCCAGTCGGCGCCGCTGAGATGTTCTGAGGTCCCTCTAACGATTCAATAATTCCGATTATTTGAATATAATTACAGTGCTTTCCCGATTTTGTCAGCTCACGTTATTGTCTACCCCCAATTTTGTCAGCTTTTTTTCCCGATTTTGTCAGCCTGCAGATTTCACTAAATTTTTGAGTTATTAAACATGAATTCTCAAACTTGAATAATTTTTATTCTTACACGTTGCTGATATGTAAATGTTAGGGGAACCGGGGGTAAAATGTGCATACGGGGTGAAATGTACAATTGACGATTTTAAGTGCTTTTTCATTCAAATATCAATTCAAAGTATAGGTCTTTCATCCAATGTACCTTCTGCATTTCAATTCATTTAAATTAATTTAATATTCTCCTACTAGGAATTATTAGTTTTGAATTGCTGTTTGCTGGAAAAATCTTTTTTTTTCAATTGTAATAAAACATTGCTTCATTGTCAGTAATATTTATTCTTAGAAAATAAAATAGAGCATTACATATTTCATTGAATTGTACATAAAAGTTTTGACTGAGTTTAAATTTTCAAGAGATTTCGTCATCCCAAATTCTCGAATTCAACGGAGATAAACAACATCGTCAATTGAAAAGGACAATGCTTCAACCTAATCAGCTTTTATTTTGGATTGTCGGAGAGACAGTTTGGATTCCGGAAAGGGAGATCAACGGTGGATGCAATTCTGACAATGGTCGAGAGAGCCGAGAAGGCGTCCAAACAGAAGCGTGATAACGATCAACGTCAAGAATGCGTTCAACAGCGCAGCTGGAAAGCCATTTCCAAAGCGCTGCATAGAATGAGGGTCCTTGACTAGCTGTGCAGGATTCTGGTGAGCTACTTCCAGAACCTGGTTCTGATCTACGAGACAGTCATCGGACAGTGATCGATTAGGATCACAGCGGGAGGTCCACAAGGCTCCATCCTTGGTCCAACGCACGCCTTTGCCTCGAAGCGCGTGTTGAAATACCTGGGAATGATGATCGATGACCGGCTAAACTTCACCAGCCAGACCATCAACACAATAGATAGATTGGAGGTCCAGCCTGGTTTGCAGCACTGGAAACGAAGCAGACCCAAAGGAAACTGAGCAGTACGTTACGGCGCATGAGCATGTGAGTCGTGAGTGCATACATAACCATTAGACTGATGCAAATTTTGACATTTTCGCTCCACAGTGCTCAAACGGTTCCAAATCGGGTCCTGATTAATCTCCCAAAATTTGAAGTCATTTGAAAAGAAACTGACCTTGCACAAACCATTTGAAGTTTATATGGAAATTACTATGGGAAATCCAAACTTTTTGTTCATTGTCTTCTTACCTTTTTCCATATGGCACTGTTAAAAAATTCAAAAGCTATACTTGTGGAAAATTTTCTCAGCTTCAACTTAGCAGAATATAGTTATTGAGCCAAACGTCAAATAAAATAGTTATTAATTGTTTAAGAGATTGATAATCTTATGGCATGATCAAGCAGCTGTTTTGTGAGCAACACTGTATCTTGCAGTGTTACATAGTAGCCATGATTTTTGTGCTCTATTCCAAGCGCCAGAAACACCAATGTTGCCTGCTGAACAGTTGATTGAGTGGCTTGAATTATTGATAACTTTTGATGCTTACGCTATACTGAAAAGTGGTTCATGACAAAGTTGTAGCTGAGAAAATTTTCTACGAGCTCTCAGTTATCATTCTTCAAAGCAGAGCTTTATGGTAAATTGTTAGATGGATATGAACAATGTATTTGGTTTTCCTATACTAATTTCTTCAAATGGTTTGTGCCAAGTCAGTTTCTTTTCAAATGAGTTCAAATTTTGGGAGACTAATCAGGACCCCATTTGGAACCGTTTGAGCATTGTGGACCAAAAATGTCAAAATTTGCATCAGTCTAATAACCATCTCATCTAGCATCCCCCCTCATTTTCTCTGCTTTGAAAGTTGATACATATTTCATTATCGTCAAAGGAAACTTCGACAACTCTTACACCAGTAACTGAGGGTTTAAAACGGTGAATTTCGACAAAAACATTACCAAACCATTCATTTCGAAGTTTAGAAATTTTGGCCTAGATTTAGTATTCAGCAGCAGGACAAATCAGCTGAAGTCACTGTTAGGTTCAACAAAAAATTCAATAAATGTCTTAGGGAAAGTCTGAGTCTACAAAATCTTTTGTCCAGATTGCAATAAAATCTGCATTGGTCAGACGAAAAGGACTTTGAAAACAAGGTTTAAGGAACACATCGCAGAGGTAAAAAAGGCTTACAAAGAGATGGATAAAGGACTTCATTATGAATTTAAATCCAAGGTTGCAGAACATATCTTTACAAAGGGGCACAATTTGACAAAGGATAACATTAATATCCTGCGGAGTGTATCTTCGCCTTGGAAACTAGACGTAGCAGAAAGTTTAGAAATATTTAAACATAATCCATCAACATTACTTAATAGAGATCAAGGAAACGGATACTCGAGACTCTTTAGCATGCTACCTAGAACCACACATCGTAGCATGCCCTTTTTTAGACTAAATTTAAGTGCCTGGTTAGGTAAATTGTGACATGGCAGGGGATATCTGCTGATATTTAGTACCTATTGATTAGTATTTAACTTGTAGATTAAAGATGGATTCTTCAGTGGTGTTGAGTAGTTGGCACTGATGAAGTCTGCAAGTAGTAGACGAAATACGGGTATCTGTCAAAAGGTAAGCAATTATAACGGAATTTAAAGGAAATAAACCAACACACTCTAAGCTCTTCACAATAATTCTAGTTATTTGATGGTTTAGAAGAGTTGTTACAAATAATAGCCATCTGTAGGACAAGGAGGGTTAAAACGCACCCCGGTGGTTTATTACCAACAGCGTTTTTTCTCGTACTATTAATAGATAAATTGATACAAACAATTTCCCAGATGACTGTTACGAAGCTCTTCTAGTGTTATGAAGCCTCTCTAGTGATTACGTAGAGATGAACTAGCCAACGGCTAAAAATCTCTCTAATAAAGTTAAAAAAAATTCTAATGATTACGGGTGAAACTCCATTAAATTTGTTTTGCTTAGGGATTTAGGGATAAATTTGATAAACTCGTTTTACAATTCTTAGATTATTTCAAAACGGCTTCTATTGTGCTTGAAAAGATGTTTACGAAATGCAATCAGTATTTGAGCCACCCATGGCCACATGATGTTTCCCCAGAAGAGCCGGAACCTCACCCGGAACATCTGTAAAATATACCATTTCATGAAACTTGTTTTAAAGCTTCGAGATTTGCTCAGAAACTTACTTCTTATGCTTCAAAAAGTTATTTACAATGTGCAACCAACGAGATTTATAATTTATAAAGAAAATTATAACTTGGCTCTGTAAAGTTTATTAGATTGAGCTTGTACAAATAACGTAATTTAAAAAAAAAATGTCCAACTAACGTTTGTACCTTCTATGGCAACCAGGGGGAGTTTGGTAAAGAGAGATGATCAACCCGATTCGTACCTTCCTCAAAGTTGGCCTTGCTCGCTTCCCGAGCAAAGTCTGAGATCAAATTGAAATCTAATTTTGATGTTGTGATTTCGCTGATAATGATTACTCAGGTTGCTGTCGTTTTGGTCGTTTTAACGGTTAAAATATCAAAATTGAGAGCAAACAAATCTTTCTGTGACATCACATTGAAAACTATTTCTGCTATCAGTGAGAGCAAACTGAAAACTCAATTTGATATCAATTTTTCCTGTTGATAACAAAACAAGTAATCAATTTGATGTTATGCTAAGGCAATGAAAACAAACCCGCATCAACATATTTTTGAAGAGCAAATGTACAGCAAAATGAAAACAAAATTTATCAATTGCATAAACTGAAATCAAATTAGGATTTCAGTTTGATGTTGATATCTAAACTTGATTTCAATTTGCTGTCATTTTGATGCTGAACTTTGCTCGCTTTATACTCTCTATATACAATTTGGACACTGCCGTACTCTAACGGAACTATCAACTATGTACATTGATCTCCTCCATCTATCGTATACAATTACCACTTTAAGTCTGTTATTTGACGCTTAGCATCTCCAACTATGTAAATCATTAACATCACGCAGAAGTGATACAAATAAAATAGATAAATTTAAAAAAATGATCTTTAAAAAAAGATTATGTTTTTATGTTAATATGGTGTGAAACAAGAAAAAATAGAAAAAGATATTAATTATATTTATTTCTGGTGGATAACATATGACTGCGAGTTGTAAGACATTATAATTATGTACATATTATGTATATAATGTTTAGTAAAACAATATATCTTTGTGGGAGCGGGTGTGTTTGTGTATGTGATTAATTGTGGGTCTCATTCTAAACTTGAACATGAGTTCATAAAATTCAAAAGTATATTTAAAAAGTAATAATCAATAGGATGGTCAGTGGTCAATCTACATACTGTACCCAGGCACTTTTTTGGCGCTCTATGACGAGGCAGCGCTCTGTTGTGATACGATCACCGACAAGATGTTC